TCCCGATCATGTGATCACTGATTGGCCAATCAGTGATCACATGCAAAGTAGTAAGCAAGATGTCACTTCTGACATCATTGCTTACTACGTGTGAAATCTGTGAATGATCACAGAGGTCACATGGTACAAGGCTATTCACAAAAGCCTTGTACCATGTGACAAGCTGTGACCAATCACAGCTCACTCAGTACTTTTCAATGAGTGCAAGAATGCAGCCAGAGAGAAAGAGAAATGATTGCTTTTACATCCTATATGGGTGTAAAAGCAATCAGTGTAAAAAAAAAAAAAAAAAAAAAAATCTTCATCACCCCCAAGTAGTACAGTGTCACCATGGTGACACTGTACTGCTAGGGTGACAGTATGTAAAAAAAATAAATAAATAAAAATAAAAAAAATAATAATATAAAAAAATAATATAAAAATGTAAAAAAAAAATGTTTAAAAATTATAATTTTTGCTTATAAACTAATTTGGATTTTTTTTTTTTTACTAAAAAGATAACGGAATACATTTTGGCTAAGATTTATGATGAAATATTATTTATTTGCAAAATTTTATAAAAAAAACACTTTTTTTTCAAAATTTTTGGACATTTCATTTACATAGCAAAAAAAATACAAATCCCAGTGATGAATAAATACCACCAAAATAAAGCTTTATCTGTCTCAAAAAAATGGTAAAAAATTCATTCATTTGGGTACAGTGTTGCATGACCGCGCAATTGTCATTCAACGTGTGATAGCGCTGAAAGCTGGAAATTGCCCTGGTCTGGAAGGGGGGGAAAGTGTCCGGTCTGGAAGTGGTTAAATGGTCTTCCTGTTCTCCCCTTGTTAAGTGGTCTTCCCGTTCTCCCCCCCTTGTTAAGTGGTCTTCCCGTTCTCCCCTTGTTAAGTGGTCTTCCCGTTCTCCCCTTGTTAAGTGGTCTTCCCGTTCTCCCCCTTGTTAAGTGGTCTTCCCGTTCTCCCCTTGTTAAGTGGTCTTCCCGTTCTCCCCTTGTTAAGTGGTCTTCCCGTTCTCCCCATTTTAAGTGGTCTTCCCGTTCTCCCCATTTTAAGTGGTCTTCCCGTTCTCCCCATTTTAAGTGGTCTTCCCGTTCTCCCCCCGTTCTCCCCATTTTAAGTGGTCTTCCCGTTCTCCCCTTGTTAAGTGGTCTTCCCATTCTCCCCTTGTTAAGTGGTCTTCCCGTTCTCCCCTTGTTAAGTGGTCTTCCCGTTCTCCCCTTGTTAAGTGGTCTTCCCGTTCTCCCCCTGTTAAGTGGTCTTCCCGTTCTCCCCATTTTAAGTGGTCTTCCCGTTCTCCCCATTTTTAAGTGGTCTTCCCGTTCTCCCCTTGTTAAGTGGTCTTCCCGTTCTCCCCTTGTTAAGTGGTCTTCCCGTTCTCCCCTTGTTAAGTGGTCTTCCCGTTCTCCCCTTGTTAAGTGGTCTTCCCGTTCTCCCCCCCTGTTAAGTGGTCTTCCCGTTCTCTCCCTGTTAAGTGGTCTTCCCGTTCTCCCCCATTTTTTTCTCCCCAAGAGGTCTTCCCGTTCTCCCCGTTAAGTGGTCTTCCCGTTCTCCCCTTGTTAAGTGGTCTTCCCGTTCTCCCCTTGTTAAGTGGTCTTCCCGTTCTCCCCCTGTTAAGTGGTCTTCCCGTTCTCCCCTTGGTAAAGCTGTATATGTTTAGCAGCTGATATGTAGACAGACACACTATACTGTTTGTTTAGGGAAATGTGACCTTGTAGTCTTTCACTTCTATAGAGTTCATACTGTATTGTTGGGTTTTGTTGTGGGTGGGGAAAACCCGGTGCCAGGCTGTCTGGTGGGGGTGAAGCTGTATATACTGAACTATGTTCAATAAAGATTGATTCATTTCACCCTACAGGAAGTTCAGACTTGTTGTTTGGGATAGCAGGGAAGGATTGGTTTTGAGCTCTAATACCTGCCTCGGCAGAGCACTGGAAGACTTGCAGAAAAGGGGACCATTGAGACGTATCACTTCGCACGAGGAAGCCCAGGCGGAACGGTTCCGCCACAACAATATATATGTAAAGCGCTGCGTAAATTGATGCCGTTATATAAGTACTTGAAATAAATAAAATAATAAATAAATATTTTCTTCCTTGAGTATTTCCTCCCTATCACATCTGAGCAGCCCATGTGATTATAGAGTCAGACATGTGTGTATATACACAGTGGATAAATAAAAGCCCATTTGAATGGGATCAAACCGCACCACAGCAAAGTCGTGCATGCAGCAATTTGGGAACCAGATTGCACGGTACAGAAGTGCGGGCCAAAGCGCTATGTTTGCAACCTGCGTTTGGGTGCAATTAAAATTGCACTGACACCAGCTGCAGATCGCAAGGGCAGTGCGATTGAAATGCGGTACGGTGAAACACGTACAGATCATGGGCTTTCCCGAACCACATTAGTGTGAACCTGAAGTAAACTCTGGACTTCCTGACTTTGACACAATCGCAATATTTCCTGAGTAGCCTTATCAGCCTAGAGAATTATATTATTGTCTGGCACTACTTTGAATTATTGTTGTTTTGCATTGTTTCAGAATAACTGACCGTGAGGGTGCAACACATTTCTCTACATTGAAGAGCGATGATGCTGATGATGCTGATGATGCTGATGATGCTGCTGCTTTGGGGTAACCTGGTAGAAGTCTGTTCTACTTACAGCTCTGTCACTTACTTAGAGATTTCCGCCTGTGAGTTTTTTTCCCCGTCGACGGTAAAAGGCGATGCGCCTGTAAGCAGCTCGTACATCAAAACCCCCAAACTCCACCAATCCACAGCCTGGAAGGAAGCAAAGGTAAAGCCGAAGGCGAAACAACAACTGAAAGAATTGTTTTGGTAAGCAATTGTAATTCTTTTGTAGAACATTATTCTCCAATTAACAGACTTCCTGTCCTCGGGGCGGACAATGTTCTCTCTTCATGCGGGATCTATGGAAGCAGCTTTACATTTGTCAGAACACATTTCTAAAGAACAGCTCCCCCTCTCTGCACCATACCAAAGAGGGAGGTGTTCTATAGTCTACTGCAGGGGTCTCCAAACCTTTCACTATTAGGGCAATATTGTATATTTTACAAATATTCAAGGGACGGAAAAAAAATCCCCATCAGGGTGCCCTTTACATCACAGTCCCTAATAGAGTTCCATTTACATCTTGGTCCCTATCAGAGTTCCCCTTACATCAGGGTCTTCCTTATGACAGGGTCCCTATCAGGGTTCCCATTTACATCTGGGTTCCTATCAAAGTCTATCTTACATCAGAGTCCTCCTTACATCAGGGTCCCCATCAGAGTCATCCTTTCAAAAGGGTCCCCATCAGAGTGCCTTCTTACAACAGGGCCTCCATAAGAGTCCTCCTTACATCAGGGCCCCCATCAAAGTTCTCCCTTTATCAGGGCCCCCGTTAGAATCCTCCTTACATCAGGGTCCCCATCAGAGTTCCCCTTACAACAGATGTAAGATGTAAGAGTTCCCCTTACATCACAGTCCTCCTTTCATCATGGTCCCCATTAGAGTCCTCCTTACATTAGGGTCCCTATCAAAGTCCCCCCTTACATCAGGGCCCCCATCAGAGTCCTACTTTCAAAAGGGTCCCCATCAGAGTGCCCTCTTACATCAGGGCCTCCATAGGTGTCCTCTTTATATTAGGGCCCCCATCAGAGTTCCCCTTACATCAGAGTCCTCCTTTCATCAGGCTCTCCATCAGAGTCCTCCTTACATCAGGGTCCCCTATCCATGTCCCCCCTTACATCAGGACCCCCATCAGAGTCCTTCTTACATCAGGGTCCTCATCTGAGCCCCCTTTACATAAGGATCCCCATCAGAGTCCAACAAACTTCAGGATCGTCATTAGAGTCCCCCCTTACATGAGGGTGCCTATCAGAGTGCCCCTTCCATCAGAGTCCCCTCTACAACTGTAAACTGGGTACCATAGGCAGCCTCTGCTGACCTTAAGGTTGACCCTAGCTTTGGGCCGGATGTGGCCTACGGGCTGTAGTTTGGAGACCCCTCATCTACAGAGTCCTCCTTACATCAGGGCCCCCATTAAAGTTCTCCTTTTATCAGGGCCTCCATTAGAATCCTTACATCAGGGTCCCCATCAGAGTTCCCCTTACAAAAGAGTCCTCCTTACATCAGAGTCCTACTTTCATCAGGGCCCCCATCACAGTCCTCCTTTCATCATGGTCCCCATTAGAGTCCTCCTTACATTAGGGTCCCCATCAAAGTCCCCCCTTACATCAGGGCCCCCATCAGAGTCCTAATTTCAAAAGGGTCCCCATCAGAGTGCCCTCTTACATCAGGGCCTCCATAGATGTCCTCCTTATATCAGGGCCCCCATCCAAGTTCTCCTTATATCAGGGCCCCCATCAGAGTTCCCCTTACATCAGAGTCCTCCTTTCATCAGGCTCTCCATCAGAGTCCTCCATACATCAGGGTCCCCTATCCAAGTCCCTCCTTACATCAGGGCCCCCATCAGAGTCCTTCTTACATTAGGGTCCTCATCTGAGCCCCCTTTACATAAGGATCCCCATCAGAGTCCAACAAACTTCAGGATCCTCATTAGAGTCCCCCCTTACATGAGAGTGCCTGTCAGAGTGCCCCCTTCCATCAGATTCCCCTCTACAACTGTAAACTGGGGACCATAGGCAGCCTCTGCTGACCTTAAGGTTGACCCTAGCTTCGGGCCGGATGTGGCCTACGGGCTGTAGTTTGGAGACCCCTCATCTACAGAGTTGGTAGACAAGGACAGGGCACTGTCACCCTATAACAGGAATAGCCTAAATAATGACATTCACAGAAGATCACCAGGGAATATTTTAGTGAAAGTTGCATATTTAAGGTATAGTTAATTACTTTTTAAATCATATTACATGTTAAGGGTTATATAAGGTTTAGTGATTGGGGTTACATCAATTACATGAAAAACACCAGTGCATATAAGAGAGGCGGTATTGCAAATATTCTGTAGTATTGGGGAGGAAAAAAAATAACAGGGTACCTTATCATGTCCCGATTCCCCTCCGCGGACGATCTCTGGCGCCATGTATTCTATAGTCCCACAAAAGGAGTACGCTCTTTCATTCTAAAAGTAAAGTGATTGTTTATTTTTCCAAATAATAAGTACTTATAAGAACCAAGGACATTCATAAAGTCTGAAATGTGATCAATATGGAGTCTAATGGTGCAACACATGGACCGAAGTACCATGGCCTCTGCTCATACGTGAGCTTCGCTTGTATTGGAGTTCACAGGGAAAACGCAACTGCTGAAAATACATTCTAAAGCTGAAAGTTTAGCCTACCTTTACTTTGCCCTCCCTGATCCTACCCCACTTCACCCACCCCCATCCCCTAAATCAGTAACTACACTTTTGTTGAGAGAAAAAAAAAAAAACATTTCCCTTTGGGTGATAGATGTACATTGCAGGGATTGTAACAAACTTTGTTGCAGATTCCTACCTTTTGCTATCCTGAATAAATAGTTGTTTGTCTGTCTGTGTTCATGTGCAGAGAGAATCTGTATGGGAGTGGATTCATAATTCTCAATCAGCTGCTGCACTTGCAGGGCTCTAATGAGAAAAGTGTCAGGGTCTGCATCTTTTTAGATGTTGTGACGGGAGTGACTTTTGGGGGTGGGGAGACCCTGTCTCAGCTCCCCATATCCCCATTATGTGTAAGTCACCCTGTGCCTGTTAGGGGTACAGGGTGAAATGTTCTAATATTGGTGTGGGGGTTGTTCATTGTGCTCTGCCATGTGGTGCATCCCATTGTTCTATTGTGTGTCTTGCTTGGGAGAAAACTATTATGGGATGTAATATTTGTGTATTTGTGTGGGGGTTGTTCATTGTTCCCTGCCATGTGGTGCATCCCATTGTTCTATTGTGTGTCTTGCTTGGGAGAAAACTATTATGGGATGTAATGTTTCCGGCAGCCCTTCCCCCTGATGGGACGGCCTGCTGATGTGTTTCCTGTCTAGGTGTTTCCCCGCCCTGTGTATATATCTTGTATCTATGTTAAAATAAAAGCAGTCTATTTCCTGTCTTTCATACGAGTCTGGTGCTGTTACGTCTTGTATGGTCAGTGGTGGTGTCCGTGGATCTGTGTTCAGACAGAGAAGCTGGAGCCTAACGGAAATACCCAAGTGCAGTCTGGGTCCGGTTCCGTTACATTGGTGGCAAGCGGTGGGATTGTGCTTCCAAGCTGTGAACACGTCCAAACCACCACCGGGATTCAAGATCAGGAAAGGAGACGTCGGTCACCCCAGTGGAGATATGGACCTTGCATCAGAGTTCCCAGGACTGCTGCAGACTGTTCTTGCAACATACCCCAGGACTGTGTCTGCGGATCAGTACCTGGAGCTCGGGCACCGGATTTGGGAGGTGCTTTGGAGAGGAGCCCTCCAGGTTGCTGGTATGGACAAGGGCAAGTACTATCCAACCCCAGGGGAACGGGCCAGGGACCATCAGAAGTTACGAATACCATTCCTGGGAGAGCGACCCCAGGAGCAATGGCTGACTGAGTTGGACAGGCTGGTCCAGCAGGAGATAGAGCTGGACAACCGATATCGGTCTCTGCAATGGTACGCAGAGCAGGAATATTTAGGGGTGACAACAGAATGCTCTCCAGAGGGATAAGACTTTGGTGGCCCTGGATTGCTGTGGGAGAGCCTTACAGATCTTTTTGTGTTTGGCGATGAAGGAGAACCTACCCTTGAGGACCTGCGAGAAGGCAGAGAGGCCATGTTCGGTCTCAGAGCTTGAACCAGATCTAGAATACCTACTGAAGAAAGAACTGCATCTGGAAAGGGCATACAGGCAACTGCTAAAACATGTTCAGCAGCATGCCCAAGAATCAGCAGTGGAAATTCCAGAGACTGGGGATTTGATAGACTTCTCTGCTGAGGAAAAACAACCTGGTAAGCCTCCAGCAGAAGAACTGGCAACAGGGCCAAACATTAGTGAATTTTACCTAGCACTGGTAACATCTTCTGAGTTCCACAGACAGGAGATGGTGAACCCCTATCCCCAAACACCAGTTCCAGAGACTGGGGATTTGATCGACTTTTCTGCTGAGGAGGAACCAGCCGGCACGCCTCCAGTAGAAGAGCTGGCATCAGGGCATGGCGTGATTGACCTCTGCCCACAACAATCAGCACCGCACGAGCTACAGGAAGAGGATGCAATCGGCACCTCACAACGGCAGTTTGAGCTGATGGGATATATCTTGTATCTATGTTAAAATAAAGCAGTCTATTTCCTGTCTTTCATACGAGTCTGGTACGGTTTTGTCTTGTATGGTCAGCGGTGGTGTCCGTGGATCTGTGTTCGGACAGGGAAGCGGGAGACTAACGGAAATACCCTAGTGCAGTCGGGGTCTGGTTCCGTTACAGATGTGATTTCCTATTGGGAGTATCTCACCAAAAATGACATTTGTGTTGCAGGGGATGCTGGAAATCTGACTCGTATCTTAGTGCATACTTCTGGGAAAATCAGTGAGCCAGTCAGGGGAAGAGGAGGGAGATGGGAAGGTCATTGGGAGATTGCTGGATATCCAGGAGGGGCCTCTGCAGTGTTTAAATTGGAGTGGTAGAGGATTGAGCATGAGTGGAATGATATTAAAGAGGAGTTCCACTCATCCTGTCAAAAAATAGAAGTCAGCAGCTACAAAAACTATAGCTGCTGACTTTTAATAAACAGCTACTTACCTGTCCCTCGGTCCTGCGGTGTGTCCCCCGCAGCCCGTTTCACCGGCCATCCTGTATTCCAGGAGGCCGGCATCTTCAGTGTGGGCACCCGGCTGTGATAGCTTGCAGCTTCACAGCCGGGTACACACTGCGCATGTGCAAGTAATGCTGCGCTTCATGAATGGTCCTGTAATCTTCTGGGACCTGTCACGTGTCCTAAAAGACTACAGGGAGGGAGTGAGGACACCTTCCATTTCCGATCGCCTAGGCGATTGGACCGGAAGTGGGAGTGGGTACCTATCAAATTCGGGTACCCGCCCCCCAAAAGGTGCCAATCCTTAATGGGGAGCGGGGGAGCAGTCCTTAAAGTGGAACTTCCCCTTTTGGGTGGAGCTCCGCTTTAAGAACTCACCCCCAATATGCTGATGTCATCATGGGGATTCCCCCAAACTTGTAGAGCTGCAGTATGTGGCTTGTGCGAAACTTTTGACAGCTGGATAATTTGGCAGTTCTCCCGCTCAATCTGTCAGTATCCCTGGCATTCTTTTGTTTACATTTCAGCTGTCAGTGGGGAATCCTCCTACATACATCCTCAGCTCTACCTCTGAAGAAGTGCGTGCGCACGAAACGCGTCAGTTGGAGCCCAGGACGCCATTGACACTACGCCGCCGGTGCCACGTGGAGGCCCGGTGGCCATCTTTAATCTTAAAGGGTCAGTCATTTGATTAAACCTGGCACCATTGTGAGTTTTTCCTGAACACTCCTGTTTTTCTTGAATAAAATCATTTTCATCAACCTACTACACTATGGGTTCTTTCCTGTGTCTTCTGTGATGAGCCTTTTCAGCTTCTGCAGACCCAGATTGATCCCTGCACCAGCCTTTGAGAGGAGGAATTTTCCACTTCACACACTTCTGTAATGATTTCTGTGACCTGCTGGACCTTCATTTCGCCACACGAGGGCGCTTCATCTCTACTATCTTCAGCTCCTGCCCATTACCAGACCAGAAAAGAGAGGGGAATCTCCATGATATCATATACACATGCGTATTATTAATACGTTTCTGGTTAGTGCGCATTTCTAACTTTTGCACTGGGAATCAGCGAGCACCATTACTGGACTGTGATTTATTGATTTATTTATTCATTTGCTTTGGTTTCATTTATTATTTATATCTGCCCGCAATATAGTAACATCACAAAGCGCTGCATTTTCTTTATATATATATTTTTGGGACTTTTATGTGTTTTCCTTGAATGTTCAGCTGCTGACCATTGGAGCGCTCACTGTATTTTTTATACTCTCATACTGTCAGTGGGGGAATCCTGCTGACAGCTGAAAGAACCGAGCTGGAAGATATCGGTTTTTAGTTTCGGTGCATTTGCACAAGTACTGATACTCATGCAAATGCCTATTATCGGCACCGATACCGGTATCAGTGCAACCCTACTTCAATGCATCTAAATTTACTGCCACAATTGGAGCTGAGCACCTTATCCCTTCCTCTTCCATATCCCTGGATTGATATTGTAATCTGAAGCTGTGAGATTGTATTCTGTAATAGATATCTGTTATTACTCCTTCAATCTATACCTGCTTTTTATATGTACCTACATTTAAACTCAGAATGAACAAAAAATATGCCCAGGTAAAAAAATACAAAAGGTAAATAATACTGAAAATACACTACAGCTTCTCCTCAAGTCAGCATATAAACAAGCAATTAACTCACCTCATCAGACAGGAACTCCTTGCTGAGCCCAAAGTCTGTCAATACCACGTGACCGCTGGAGTCCAAAAGAATGTTCTCAAGTTTTATGTCCCGATAAATTATCCCCAGCTGTAACGGCAAAGTAACATTTTTTCCCTGTCAGCTTATGGGGTGCATTAGAATGAAGCGCAGAACTGAACATTGCAGGGAGACAGATGGAAGAATCTGCGGTTAGTTAAATATTCAGTAAACAGCAGTAAATTCTACTAGAGACTCCATACCATATACAACCAGTATTAGTCCTGATTTATGAGCCAATGGGGAAGCCGATGGAATTAGCCAATAAAAAAGAATTATCCAGCTATATAAAAATGTAGAACAGTCGGGGCTTCATGAATACTGAATACATGGGAGATGAGAAGCGGCTCTGTGACTACTTTAAAGTGTGCTTCTTTGAAAAATAAAAGATTAAAGGATAAGTTCACCTTTTTGACAAAAATAATAAATATACATTTTTTTTTTTTGCATGTAAAAAATTGTGCATTTATTATTTTTGCCTGCAGGAGGCTGGACAGCACTGCAGCAGCGATCAGTAGATTGCTGATGCCATGCAGGTCTCCTGCAGACCTGTCAGAATATCTGCTTGCCATACGGGATGTACAAAGAAGCAGATATACTAACAGGAAACTTCAATGAACTTCTACGGCGCTTCACAATGCCGTAGTTCATTGAAAGCTACAAGCCCACAGCTAAGACTAACGGGACTTGTAGGCACTCATTCACAGAACTTTCTGAATGAGTGCCGTGGCCTTGTGGGCGGAGCCCCGCATGGCCACGCGGTTTTCAAATCTGACAGATAGTATGGGGAAACCTCTCCCCGTACTATCTGTCAGAGGGAGGGGGGCACGTCTGCAGCTATGGGAACATGTTAGGGCTCATGTACACGGGGCGTTAGGAAAACTCTTCTGAACGATGGAAACTGACTGCTGGAAAACGTAGGTTAAAAAAGTCAGTTGAACCGCGTTTGCATACCGCGTTTGTGTTTAGAAGCGTTTTTAAAAGATAAAATCAGGAGACCTTCCCAAAGCACTGAAAAATAGTAAATAATTCACTATTTCAAACATTTTGAGAGGAATAGAGAGAGCAGAAGCAGAGAGAGCAGTATGTGTGGAGATGACCTGTCTTTTCTGGGTGTATTCACTATGGATCCCATCATGAGTATAATGCGGCGCGTTCTACCATTGTTTCCTTCACGCCAAACCTGGAACTGACTGCGCTGGTGTACCGGGTCCATTTGAATACATGGGAAATGCTTTGCATGCATTTCTGATGAAAAAAGGGCTCTGGACAACACTCGATATGGAAGTTAAAAAACGCTTCTAAACGCAAAGGTTTATAAACGCGGTTAACCGCGTTTACAAGCATTTATATGCGTTCGGCGTTTGAAACACAAGTTTGGTGCGTTCCAAAAAAATGACTGCAAACTCAACTGCCTGTAAATGATGATGTGTGCACGGACACATAGGAGAACATTAGGGAGAGTTCAGGGGCTGCTGAAAAGAACAATGAACAGCTCCTGGACGTTCGTTTAGCAGCTGCAGTGTACATGAGCCCTTACATGTTCCACCCTAAAAACAGGTGGAACATGTAACATGTTCCCAAAGGTGAACTCATCCTTTAATACTTACCTCAACTGCTGCAGGTCTCTGTTGTCTTCAAGCGCTACCCTGGCTAAAAGATCATAAGGGAGTGTCAAGCGCCTGGCTTCCCCCACAACTGCACCACAGTATCTCTGAATAAATCAAAGTGCAGCTGCTGTCCTATTTGATTTAAACATCAAAAAAATATGAAAAGTAAAATGAACGGCGCTGATTTCGCCAACTGTGACAATGTATCGTGCCAACAATATCTTAAAGTACAATGTGCATTATATGACAAATGAAGTTCATATAAAATCATAAAAATATCAAAAACACAATAAAATAATATTAATATCCCCTTGACGCCGACGTAACACAAATATGCGGCCTCACGGACCTGGGCTTTTTTCCGTGGGGCCGCATATTTGCGTACCTGTCTTTGTGCTGGGAGCGCGCCGCTCGGCGCGCTCCCAGCACCAAGACCGCGGTGTCACTGAGAGCCCCGGGTCCCGTTCTAACGATCGGGACCCGGGACTCCCGATTCCGGGTCACGTGATCGCTGTGATAGCCTCTGATTGGCTATCACAGTGATCAATCACTGTGCAGCCCGGCCCCCTTGTTTTCTCTCTCTCTATGAATGGAGAAGAGAGATACATTGTATCTCTCGAACTCCTGACACAGAGAGAGAGAAAAAAAAGTTTGTAAAAAAAAAAAAAAAGATAAATAAATATTAAAAAATAAAAGAAAAAATAAAGAAAAATACCTAGATCAAGGTTTGATCTAGTTCAGTACCAGGGTTAGTGTTTGGGTCAAGGTCAGGGTCAAAGGTCAGGGTCAAGGGCAAAGGTCAGGGCAAAGGTCAGGATTTAAAAAAAAATTGGTATCAGTGTCAGTTAGTGTTAATGTCAATGTCAGTGACAGTGTGTTTTATATAAAAAAAAAAAGACAAACACAAAATGCGCACTGTTGTTTCTGGACTGTACTACGGGTACAAACAACAAAATAACATACACATATATGGTATCGCTGCGATCGTCAAGAACTGGAGAATGTATTTTGAGTTGTTCTTTGGTGGTAGGTTATGGTCGTAACAAGAAACACACAGTTAAATTTAAAAAAATGATTTTTTTTACTATTTTGGCCCAGTTTTCCTTTAATAATAAAAAAAAATTAGGAGCTATCCATGACCATTTACCACCAAATGAAAGCCCAATTTGTCCTGAAAAAAACAAGTATAATCCACCTGGATGTACAAAGTAGTTGTGACGATATGTACGGTTTTACTAACACGTCAACGTTGCAGAATTGTGCTTAGGCATTTAGATTTGTTTTACCCTTAGGCGTGAAGGGGTTAATATCATTCAATATAAGTGTCCTGTATAATAAATCCCCCCCAAAAAGGTGCATTGAAGACTCTGTGCCAAGAAAAAAACTAATCCGGTTACGATCTCAGGCCACGAGTACAGACCTGGTGTCAGCACCTGTGGTAGTGAGCTCTTTTGATCCACAACTTGGGGTTCCCCAGGGCGCAGAGTCTAAGCCCCAGCCTACTTGTTCACCAGGGCTCCTGATGGTGGGGATGGACTTGCAGCAGGCTGGGACCAGGTCGCGGCCCCCAGGTACACCCAGCTGAGGTAGAGGAGACCGCTAGCGGAAGCAGAGTACAACGGGAGAAGACACAGGGAATCCAGTAGGCAAGCCGAGGTCAGGACAGGCGGAAAACATGCAATGTCAGGAACGAAGCCGGGGTCGGTACACAGATAGACTATATAGAATTCGCAGCAGAAACACATGGGAGCTCCAACAACAAGCCGTTGCTCAGGCAAAGTGGGACAGACTGAGCATGTCTTAAATAGACAAGCCAGCTAGGAGGCGGGCCAGGAAGTGATGAAAGAGAAGGGCATAAAACCCAGAGGATAGCAGACGACGCCCACAGGTTAGCACAGACAAACACACATGTGAAGGAATCAAGAGCAGCAAGGAGGTAAGAATAAACACACAAGAGGCTGCAGGCTAACTTGTGACACCTGGTGTGTGTGATGATGTCACATTCAAGTCCCACCCCTCCCTTTTTAAGTGTAAAACCATCTAAAAACTTTTATTTGATAGAAACACTCATAACACTCACAATGATACGTGTCTCCACTGACACTAGTAAAACAGGTTCAATCAAGTAGCCGAGCCGATTTGGACGTGATCTCAGGACGAGCATGGACCCAGCATGCGTGGTGACGTCATGTCCAAGCTCCACCCTACGCGTTTCGTCATGCAGTATGTATGTGCTTGCAGACTGAGATCATGGACTGATTCAGGTCAGATACATGACTGAACCTGTTATACTAGTGTCAGTGGAGACACATATCATTGCGAATGTTATGAGTGTTTTTATAAGATAAACTTTCTTAGGTGGTTTTACACTATGCAAGCCCCTTTTTCTTCCTCCTTCATGTGATGTGATGAGAAAATGTGGAATGACAGTTTAAAGAGATCCCTGAAAGGAAATTGCTGAACCTAAATGAGCTGCAGATCCCAACTCCCAGAGCCATATGCGTTTTTAGCTGGTTTACAACATTACCAGCACCTTCCTCTGAGGAGTTTATTTGGTACATTTGGTGATGAAGAGAACTAAGTTTTGTGAAATAACAAAGGATTAGGAAGGATTGTTCTCGGTTTCAATGTTACATTTTATATTGGACATTGTACTTTTTGTTTTTTTGTTTGCACAGACTGAATGATCTTTTGGAGATTTATCATACGGGACACTTTATATTGAATGATATTAATATTTATTGTAATTTGTAATATTTTTATGATTCATATAAATGTCATTTGTCATATAATACCCTTTAAGATATTGTTTATACAATAGATTGTCACAGTTGGAAGTAGTAGCGCTGTTCAACTTATTTCTCACATATGGAAGTGTGCCGGGTGCTAAAGATGTTCCAGCCAGCATAGCTCCTGAATTTAGCAAAGGAAAGTGGCCGCAAGGGTAAGTATTCAAGACCACTTTGCCACTGACAGCAATGGTCTCACACCAACAATCTGGAAGCATGTTGGCTGGTTCCTCATCATGTGATTACCATGGCAGTCAATGAGGGTGATCACATGTTTTTGTTTACATAACATACCTGCCGCCTTAGCTGTCACTGTGCCTCTCACTCTGACAGCTGCAGCACTTATAGTGAAAGACAGTAAGATTAGAGTGACTTTTATTACAAAATTAAAATGCCCAACGAAATTTATTTTTTTACATTTCTGTCCATTTATCAGCCTATAATAAAAATCTTAGTGTACTTGTTTGCAGTATATCAAAATCTATTTGTTATATGTACTTAACCCCTTGACGCAGACGTAACACAAATATGCGGCCTCACAGAACTGGGCTTTTTTCCGTGGGGCCGCATATTTGCGAACTTATCTTTCTGCTGGGAGCGCGCCGCACAGCACACTCCTAGAACAAAGACCGCGGTATCACTGAGAGCCCCG